TAAAGACATGTCCCAGAGGCGTTTCTGGTCCCCACCTGTCGTTTTGCTCCTCAGCATGGCTTCCWAAAAACGCTGCAGGATTTCTCAAACATGCATGAATGTGTCAAGACAAGGCTTTGGGCATGTTTTTTATGAGAGTATAACATTATAACATGATATAAAACTAAAAAAAAAGTTGATTTTACATGATATTGCCCCTTTAAATAAAAAATAATAAATCCCAAATTGCTCTTCTAGACTTTTAAACTTTTACGCTAAATGCAAATAATTGAGTTAAGTTAAAAAGATTACCAATGCTTGGGAGAGCACGTCCGTCCACAAACCAAAGGCATGTTTTCAAATTAAAAAAGAAAAATACTAATTTGTTCCTGGAAAAAAACAGCTTGTTTTTCTGTAAATGCTTCACGTCTCAGTTAGGTTTTATGATCATATTCGGAATGACGAGGATTTTAATATTTGACTGAATTCATCTGGAGTTTGGAACGAAGCAGCTCTTACAATTTGTCTGGAACACACGGCTCTGTCTATTGCCAGCTACATATGAGGTTTATGTTTGATAACAGTCAATAACTTTAGCTAATTAACTAAACTGGAACTTTTCCTCCTTGAAATAGGACACTAAAGAGTGTTCTTGACTAAAAACATGTTTTTGGCAGGAGYTTAGTTCACTGGTAGTGGTTTGTTGAAGTGATGAATTAACGTTTGTTGGTGACGACAGCATTAGACACACTATTATTCACACACTCACTTGCCAGAGCTTTCTGAAACCCAGACTTTCCTGGAAGTAGCCACTTTCTTTTAAGTAGGTGTAATTAACCGTCAAGTTAGTAGAATACTATGTTCAGCGGAAATAAGAATGGGACAAAATTTTGCTGTTTTCCTTTTTATGCACAAACATCTTTTGGTTYTTATTTTTGAAATGACGTTATGACATCCAGGGTGTACCCAGCCCCTCGCACAGCCACTGCTGGAAATGGGCACCAGTGACCCCCATTACCCTGACAGGAAGAAGCAGATTAAGATAATAGATGGAAAATAACATGTTTTTTCCTTTTTTATTTTAAAGAGCATAAATTTAAAGACATATTAGTCTTGAGTAGATCAAAATTATCTTGTTTGTTGTATACAAACATATTTTTGATATTGCTCCAGTAAGGTTTTGGTTCATTTTTATTTGCCATATTTACATTTACTCTTCGATTCATTCAGACATTTTCTATAAAAAAAGAACAAATTTCATCCTAAAGTCTTCAATAACCCTCCTCCACACAGCTTCTTTCCTCTCTAAGGCTGATTTCTTGGCCTCGAAGGCGCTGGCTGCCYTGTCCCACTGCTGGAGTTCAGCTCAGCACACCCAGAGGTGACACAGACCCCTGGAGATCCTCTAAGACCTGGATGGCCCCTGAGACCCGGTCGGCCTCCGTGTCCCCTCTCACCCTGCTTCCCAGGCTGGCCATTAAAGGCTCTGCCAGGACGTCCACGCTGACCTGTGATGGAGGCAGAAGTGTTGTTTAGTCTTCAGGCTTTGCAGTCTGCTCAGTTAGCTGAGTAAGGCTGTTTTTACAGTCCAACAAAGAGAGCACTACCAGAGAAATAAGATTTCTTCCTTTTTTTGGCAATGAGACTTTCCGCTTACTGTAACAGGCGTTCTACATCAAACACACAATTTCTTTAAAAGAATTAAGGTTCGGAGTCAGTTCAACACAGTTTGTAAACCATGGACAAGCAAAAATGTCATATCTAAAGTTAAAATTACCTTTGGATCCCTGATCTCCAGTGACGCCTGGTAGGCCATACCCTTTGGCTCCTTTATCGCCTCGCTCTCCTTTGTTACCTGCAATTATCCACAAGCTTGTATCAGACATGACAACACAGAGATAGACTTACAATGCCCATGAGTATCAGCGCAGCTCAGACCATTCATGTTGATTAAAGACCATATAGTTTTACTGTGATCACTGTTAAATAAAAGCTTGGAATGACTTGTGAACATTCTTTCATTTGACTGGAATGAAAATGGAATATGACTGTGGCATCAGGATCTGGCCAGACAAAAGCAGATTTTAAAAATATAATCAAGACTCTAGTCTAAAAGGTCAAATCTGATGCACTTTCAGAAAGTAGAAACTACAAACTAAAGATGAATATATTGGTTATATTTTGTCATTCTTTTTAAATTCCAGGTCTTAAGTTTATAAAACAAGACATACCCATCCATCCATCCATCCATCCATCCATCCATCCATCCATCCATCCATCTATTCATTTATCCATCCATCTTTTGCCTATCCTGGATCGTGGGTTAGGGACCCAAAGAGAGACCCAGACTTCCCTCACTTGGGTCAGCTCTTCTGGGGGAATCCCAAGGTGTTCCCATGCCAGCTGAAAAACATAGTCCCTCCAGCGCTACACTGAGTCCAGAGTTGTAAAGTAACTAAGTACAAATACTTTGTTACTGTACTTAAGTGGAAATTTTGGTTATCTGTACTTTACTTGAGTAATTATTTTTCAGCGTACTTTTTACTTTTACTCATTCCATTTTTACACAATTATCTGTACTTTCTACTCACTACATTTTTTAAAAAGGTAAGAAGTAGAAAGTTGTTACTCCTATTTTATTCCGAGTTGTTATTACTGAAAAAAATACTATCCTGATAAATTCTGTCTCCTGGAAAAAGTGAATTTAATTGTGGATTCTGACACCCACTCATTAGCTTGTACACAACCCATCACAGCTGCACGCTAGAAAAAATGTTTTTTGGAGAAGTCACCCCCCAATAAATGTTATTTTGGAAAATCTAACTGCTCACTTTTACTCAGTACTTTTACGTTTAAAACTTAAGTAGATTTTGTGTCAGAAATTTACTTTTGATACTTAAGTACAAAAAACATCAGATATTTTAAGACTTTTACTCAAGTAATATTTTGGAGAAGACTTTAACTTTTAACAAAGTATTTTTATGATAAGATACTTGTACTTTTACTCAAGTATCACTTTGAGGTAATTTATACAACACTGAGTCCTTCTCAGATGAACATGGGTGTAGTTTTTGTTAAAATTATAAAAACAAAGAAGCAATTGCTTTAGATACCAAAACATTGACCAACCAAACCATAAGAGCAACCTAAATCCTTGGTTTTGTATAGAACTTCAAATAAAAGAGTGTGAATGGTTCTTTTATTTAAACGTTATTTTCTACATTTTCTGTCTAAATACACATTTTTTATTTTTAGTAACAGGCTTCCAGTAAAGTGCAAAAGCTCTAAAACCCTACAAACACTTTGTGATAGCTTACAGGCTTAAGCTTGGCAAGAAGGAAATTGCAAAACAAAGCAAAATTCTGACAAACTATAACCACATTGACACTAAATACGTTGATAACACAGTCAATTAATCTAGTTTGCAGCATGCTTTCCTGCCTGAGTCATGAAAAATATCAGATCAGGGATCTCATCATATTTTTTTCCTCAAAAATTCCTTCCTAAAACAAACTTTAATAAATTATAGTTTTGCTGTTAAACAAACTTCAACACCTGTTTCTCCTCGTCGGCCAGGATTTCCATCTTCTCCATATAAACCCGGTGGGCCAATTTCTCCAGCAGCACCATCATTACCAGGATCCCCCTGACAACATCATCACCAAGAACATAAAAAATATAGTTTTTACTATGAATTCAACAAAATAGTTTTCAAATAAGGTAYTACTTTCAGTTTAGGTTTGTCATTTTCTTAAGAAAAACCCTAAAAGAGAGAAAACACTGTTCAACAAGAGCACGTCACTCGTTTTGGCACTTTATGTCAAAACATCAGGCTTACCAACCATAATCTAATATAGTGGAATATTTTTATGCAGTCATGGCTTTAATAGCATTTATCAGCCTCAGACTTCTTGTGATCAGGAGTCGTGGAACATGAATTGATTCTATGTTGTATAATAATGTGGAAAAGGCTTTCCAGTTGAAAAACAGCCAAAGAACCATTCAACACAGACCAAGTGTCTAGTCTGTGACTCCTTATTTGTCCTCATGGAGACGTGGAAAATTGTAATGTTTTCATTCCAAGCTTTTCTGCCAAATACTTCAGTTCTCTTTAGTCCAGTCCAGACCCTCACAATGTGGTAGCATTTTGCTCAGCAAGACAGAGCAAAATGAAAAATGCATGTATGTATAGACAATACTTTGATACCAAAGGTCTGCAGGCAATGAGTTCGGCAGGTTAGGCCCGATGCATCTTCAACCAACAAACATTCAATCGTTTAAACTCACAGGAGGTCCTGGGAGTCCGTTCTGTCCAGGTGGACCTGGAGCACCCATAGGGACATCCCCGTGGAGAGGACAAACAGCAGCGCAGGTTCTTTTCACTGAGTTAGCAAAGGCGGACATCTGCTCCAGGACCACTTTCTTACAAACCTCAATCACATGTTGGACGGGGAGAATTGGGCCCTGAGTGAGAAATAATTTTCATAATCATCAATGGACGTGACCAAGCTGTGAGGTAAGGCTGCTTTGCTAAGAAAACTAGAGAACAACGGCAGTGAGAATTGCCTAAAATGTGTTCTTGATACCAAATTCATGGCCAAAGTGTGGACCAGTTAGTCTTGACAACTAGAGCTAATCTTTGTTCTGCTGTTGGTGTGTTATTTTCAACACCGTGATGTTTTTGTAAGCCAAATTGTCAAACAATTGCATTTCACTTACCGGGGGGCCTGGAAGTCCCTGAAACCCATCCGGTCCTCCCTCACCTCGGATCCCTTTGACTCCAACTGGACCTGAACGACCAGGTGGGCCTGCAGGGCCACGCTTCCCTCGTTTCCCCTGAGGACCCTGGTCACCCCTGTCTCCAAGCTCCAAATAGCATCAGAACAGTTAGAACACAATGTGTAGTCACCGTCATAGGAACGCAAACTCCATAGTTATGTGTAATTTACCAACGTTATACTCGAGAACACACAAAATCAAAGTGAGCAGCCGAACGTGACCTTGGTCTGGATCATGTAAAACCTAAAATATTAACAATCTGGAAGTTTGTTTGAAAGCTTCAAAACAAAAGCCAAATCTGGCGGAGAACATCTGAAAAATGCGAAAGACTCATTTGGGTGTCGTGGGCGTTTCTGTTCTTATCGGATCTGCAGATGCTCTGAATATGTAAGGAATGTTATTTGATGGATTCATATTGAATTTTTCCAACTATTAACTTAGCCAACGTAACTGGATAACTTTGGATAGATTTCTCAACTAAAATCCAGACAGAGAGATCATATTTAGACTCCCCACACCTCTTTGACAGCTCCCTTTAGTGACCCAACTTATCATCACCTACAGGGGTTATTTTAGCTTTATAAATAAAGAACTATTTGACGTTAGTAAATGTTTAACTCAAGCCATACTAGATCCCTCAGTGCAGTTGATGGGACGTGCCAAGCCTTTTGAATTTTATATGATATAATAATTGCTTTTGGGATGAGATCACAGTTTTATGTTGTAGGTCAATCTTTCAGCTGAATCATAGCTTACCCTTCCCTTTGGGCCTTTAATTCCATTTTCCCCCTGTGAAAAAATAAAATCTTTGTTGATGAAATCAAATCTAAAGGACGCAATGATGGAGAAGAAGAGATATTTGACATTTAACAATATACCTGTGCACCTTTTCCTCCTTTGACCCCCTGGATTCCTGTATCCCCCTGTACAAAGCAAATTAAAAGTAGGAAGCTGTCAAACAAGAGCATTTATTAAAAAGAAATTGATGATTTTTTTATTGTAAAAACAAAAAAATGTCAAAATGTGGGCATTCATGTTAAATAAAGTAAAATATGAGCAACAAAGTGATGAATAAATGTTCTTGTCTAAATCATGCAAGCCTCTCGACCTTTCAAATCTCTGACCTTTCTTCTAAACGGAAACACAAGAATAAACGGAAACAAACTGTTTATTTATTGTGCCTTTTTGTCATAAACTCACTGGGTGACAGTGAGGCGATAAAACTTTATATGTCTACATGTTCCACATGTGTTCATAAAATTTCAAATGGGTCTAAGGAAGTCTGTCCAGTAACTTAGTGGATCTTTTTGTTGATTTCCTAAAAATGCACGGGCTATTTCCAGGAAAAAGTCTTGGTTTGGAGTAAGAATACATCTGTGAATCTCACATGTTATGTGGTTTCAACAAATCAGCAAATAACTCCCAAATAGCCGCAGTTATTGTGCTATTAAACATTTTGCCCTCTATAATGAGTGATGGATACAGGATGTGTTACCTTGGGTCCTGGTTTTCCAGGAACACCTATGTGACCCTGCAAAGAGAAAATGTGCTTTCGTCATTTGAAGAAAAATTAACCAATGTTCAGAAAGAGTATAGAAAATTTATCTGGAGCACTTACAGTAGGTCCAGGTGGGCCAATAAATCCTGGTCTTCCTGGCTTTCCTGCAGAACCCTTGTAACCTCTTGGGCCCTTGAGAATAAAACGTTTAAAAACCAGCCAAAGGAACAGCTTTATTCTTTGTCGCTTCCCTTTAACATGGCAAACTACTTTACAATCAAAGTGTAATATGTGCTTGTCTTCTGTCACTGAAAAGCCTGAAAATGTGACTTACAGTTTGGCCCTGGGGGCCCATTTCTCCTGCTGGCCCCAGGGTGCCTTTTTCCCCCTGTAAAACACCCAAATGGTAATGAAATCAGCTGCCAAAGAAAGCTCCATTTCACGTTTATTTACACAACCAAGCAAAATCAGACCTTTGTGCCACTACGTCCAATTTTTCCACTGGGACCTTGTGGTCCTTGATATGCCTGTAAGAAAAAGATGACATGTGCAGAATAGTGACAGGCGAACATCTTCATAAATTTAAGATAGATGGAGTCAAACAGAATCACATACCTCCACTCCTGGATCACCATCTCTACCAGGTAAACCTGGGTCTCCAATAATCCCCTAGAAAGGTATGACCATTAATGTAAAAATGACTAATATTCTGAGAATGTAGGTATGCTTTGGTTTTATCAGGAGTGAATTACTTTTGGTCCAARTGTACCAGCTCTGCCCACTGGTCCTTGGATACCCTATTTTTTACACATTCAGAGCAAAAAACATTTTCATTAACAAACAGGAAGCAAAAATTATGATCTTTGATTATTATGATACTCACAGGCTTCCCCTTCTCTCCAGAAGCACCTCTTTCCCCAGGATCCCCCACAATACCCTGTCAACCCATCAAATGCACAAATATAAGATTTTACACAATGACCAATGTCCAAGAAGGGAGTCCTCTTTCATTTACAGCAGAGCAGATCATCTCTGTGGTTCAGGCTCTTCTCTCGGTGACTCACCAGCTAATGTTGAGATAGTTCAGGCCTTCAGATTGTGGCCAAAATCCAGCCACATGAACTAATGTTGTTTATGGAGACGGCACATCAGCCAAAAGCATACTGTACTTTGATCCCAGCGTTTTACCCCATCAGAAATGATTTAATGGCTACTCGTGGTCACATGAGGGGATTTTGAAGACAAAGTATCAAGAGTTTCCTAATGTGGAACAGAGAATCCCACAACAACCCACCTGCTTTCCTCTGGGGCCAAGCCTTCCGACTGCGCCCGTAGTTCCTTTTTGGCCCTGAAAATTGAACACGATGAGTTTAGATGATTTAAAATGTGAAGAAAAATAAAAAAATACAAGCTAGAGGGAAACATGAATACCTTAACTCCTTGAAACCCAGGAATCCCTCCATATCCTTTGAGCCCTTTAGTGCCCTTTAAGGAGAAAAAACCCATTAATAATTACATAATTGTTTACAACAGGGCTTTTTACTGTGATTTAATGGTTATCTTACTATTACTCCCAGTTTCCCAGTCTCTCCATTGTCTCCAGGAGGGCCTCGGATTCCCTTTATTGAAAAATAAATGTCCAATTTWAAATGTAAATAACTAGAGCGATAAACTATTATTTCGTTTACTGGATTCAGCAGACGAGTTTACCTTAAACCCAAATGCCCCTTTTAATCCTTTCAGCCCTTTAGGACCTCTGTCCCCCTGTGAACACAACATCTCAGTCATGCACATATGAAACATTTCAGCATCAAGGAAATGATAATATGAGTAATAAATTACCATTTGCCCCCAGGGTCCTCGCATCCCTTTTTCACCCTTGCTTCCTGTTTCACCCTGAGGATGTAAAGTTTTGTTAAAACAATATGAGCATGAATGAACCCAAAGAGTAACTCTCAAACAGGAAGCCAGAGCTCACCTTTGGGCCTGTCTCACCAGTGTTGCCATAGTCTCCGGTGTTTCCACGGATCCCCTGCAAGTAATCAGAAGCCCACATTTTTTAACTGCTGTTGGTGGTTAATGACTGCATCAGACCAAGAAACACTTTAAAATCTAATAATTTCCAACATAGCTGGAAGTTTCTTGAAGGTAAAAGTTTAGCTGTATCAGTTTAGTTTTTTCTACTTTCTTCACAGACTTTACAACAAATATTGTCAGGCTTTGATTTCTGCACAAAATATAGCTGCAAAGCTGCTAAACATTATTCAGTTGTTTATTTCAAGGTAATAAGAAGGGACTTTTGATGGTAGAATATAGAAACAGTAAGTCAGTATGTTTCTTAAAGTTCGATAAGTTATTTTACAAAAAGAACTCAAATACAACTGCAAATTTTGACATTTTGACCCATTTTGAAATTGAAAGCTGAACAGCTGGTTTACATGTTTCTGAAGATAGACATCAGTCATCCCACCAGATGTAGTATATTAGTTTAAAAGCAAATTCTTGTGAAAAATAAAGTTTGTGTTTAATTTCTGTTACATAGAAACTAAATATTTTTCTGTGTTACCCATAAAACCTGTAAAGATTAGAGTAGTTGTTTTTTCTACACCAACCAATCATCATTTTGCATTTGGCAGAGCAGAGTTGATCTTACTTTAGCCCCTTAACACTCAATGTACCTGCAGTACATTCTGGTTTTGTGGTTATTCCCTGCCTCTTTATAACCTGACCCACACTGCCAGGATTTGCATAATCTGTTCAAATGATTCAGTTGTCTTCCTTCGACTGAAACCTCTTTTGACCAACTGGGTTCATCTATAGACTCCTCAGAGCCCAAAATGTGTGGCAAGCCCCTCATGCCCCACCTGTATGTGGTACACGTGATTGATTGACTAGAATCAGTGAATCAGCTCCGAGCTTCATTCTGACACCGCAGTGTAGCCTTTTATTCAAAATAAAGCTTTGAAAATGAGAAAGAAAGCAGTGGTTATAGTGTAGTTTAACTTCATTTAGTAAATACTATGACCGCTGAAGTTAAAAACTCAGATTGATAGCTTTACATGAAGACTAGGCTTGTGAATTTATTCCAAAGAGTTCAAGAACAGTACTTACTTTAATTTGTGTTAAGGTTAGGTCTGCAGGCTAACTGGTTAGAAAAGGTTTGATAATCTCAAACTATCAAATGTGTTCTTTGAAAATTATTAGATAATATCAGAATAATTCACCTGTTGTCTATTAGTATAAGGTCCCACCCCAATAGTGAACAGGATGATTGAAATAATACAGAACCTAAWAGTATATATTTTGTCAGACGTCTACAAAGTACTTGAAAAAAATAACTACGTAAAAGTAAAATTACATGAACAGAAAATGACTTTGTTAAAATATAAATTTCACTGATGAAAAAACTACTCAAATAAAAGTCATAAAACTATTCACAAAAATTGGGAAAATAAAAGTAATTCTCAGAAATAAACTGTTTGATTTACTGAACCAAACTGGTTCCACTAAGCCAGGTTGAGTAAATATATGTATATTTTTCGCTCAATTCACTCAACTAGGTTTAGTGGAGCCAGTTGACATGACTTTGTTGAGTAAATTCAACGCTTCATTTTTTTAGAGTACATAAACGTCTTTCATGATTAATTCGAACATATTTAATTTATAATGAGTAACTAGATGTTACATTTTAAAGTAAAGAAGTAAAAGTATAATTTTTTGCTTTAAAATGTAGCAAAATAAAAGTAAAAATAGCTATTTAAAAATAATTGGTAAAATTACAAATCCTCAAAAAAACTACTTAAGTACTATAACAAAGTAAATGTACTTAGTTGCATTTTGATTATAAAGATTTCCAAACTTCTTTAATCCTACACTCTAAAAATGAAATGTTGGATTTACTTAACCATGTTATGTGACCTGGTTCCACTTAACTGAGTTGAGTAAATTCAAAGCAACATGCTCATGTTCTTTGGTTAAAAAACTGGTATATTGCTTTGAATTTACTCAACTCAGTTAAGTGGAACCAGGTCGCATAACGTGGTTAAGTAACTCCAACATTTCATTTTTTACAGTGTATATTATCATGTTCCCTCTTAAAGGATTTCTGCTGCTCAGTCAGGACTCCTTTGTTTTTGTTTTTGTTTTTTTTTCCCTTGCTGTTTTTTTAATTCAATACCAATTTAGRACAAAGAGTCTTTTACCACGGAGCCATACTTTGTAATAGAATATATTTTGCCATTATCTGTTCTTGATCACCAAAGACCTGCCAGAAAAAAAGACTAATCTGTTCCAGTTGCAGTTTATGTCAGCTTTTTAGCTGAGTCCCCTTAAGCTTCTTAATCACACTCCAATTTTTTTTTTTTTTTTTTTTTTTTTTTGCTGGGATCAAATTCACATTTTAAAAAATGAGTTGCTTTAAAAATTGCTCTGCTTTCCTTAAGCAATCTTTTATCTAACAGGTTTTAAATTTGCAGATTATTACATAATCTGTGTTACTATGTTTCCCAAAAAACGTCCAATATTTTAGGAAAATGGCTACATTTGTAACGTTGGTGGAAAATAGAGACAAGCAGCACTGAGGAAATATTAGTCATAAATACAACAACATGGAGCTGAATTGTTTGCACAGATGCTTACTTCCTCAGTAATAGATGGAAAAGTGTTCTCCTCTGCACTGGCTGTAATACTCTGAGTCAACAAACACATCAAACATGRCCAGGCCATTTCTGCATTGTCAGTTTATATGACCGTCTCACCTACCGGTGTGTAGTAGGCAGAGTCAGCTGGACAGAGGTTAACCTCAGCGAGGTCTGACGGTACAGCGGGAGGCACGAGCATAAAATTTACGACATCTCTGAGGCGGGACCGCTCATCCGAGCGAAGGACCACCCACCACCTGAGATGGACAGTAACTAGATCTGTGCCAGGAAATGCCCTCCTTGGATGCCAGCGGGGAAGGCGATAAACAAATTGGGGCTCTCGTGGTTCACGAGCTGGCAGGAGGTCAAAACTCTAACCAGTTACTGAYCGCAGATGTTCGCTCCCAGAAGAGCTCCGGCTGCAGCTGAAGACATGAACATGTAGCATGTAAAACTCTGGAAATGAGTTCAGGATGGATGTCAGTCTGCAGTTTTCCCATGCAGCACGGGGACTTTCTTCAAGTGCAAAGGGCACAAAAACAAAAAAAAAAGCCTCGGTCTTAAACGTGTTCTCCGGAGCACCTTTAAAACTCTCAGAGCTACACTGTTGAGAATCAAAGAGATTAACAAGTCATAAATTTTAAGTCAAAATATTCKCATCTGCAGCCCTCTTTTGGATAGAGGAGTTTTTGTTCATTCAAAGACAAGCGCTTCCTTTGGCAYAGTGTTTTCCTCTTTAATAATTTCACAGCATTTCCCTGTATTTTTTTCTCACTGAGGTCCTCCTCAATAAATCACTGTTGCTGATTCGCACAAAACAAACCGTTTTAAAGGGATCTGGATAAATTCACTCAGGCTTAAGCACTTGAATGCCACTTCTTACCACACACTTGAGGATATTGCTCAACGGTCTGGTGTTCCTGTGTGTGGGGGATTCATTATGTCTGGCACAGCTACTTCAAAATGTAAAAGCAAAACCATTAGAAACACTGTGAACTGAGTCCAGTGAATTCCCTCACTTAAAACCAGCAGAGTCTGAGTTCTAACATGCCAGTGGCTAMTTCAGAAGTYCAAAAACAAATTTATTGTCAAACTGTGTTGGTTTGTGTTTACTTTGGACCCCTTTCTATGTCCTGCAAAGCGGACGTGAGTTATCAAACCCAGAAAGGAGCCTTGTGTTTACTATCGCGCTGCGCCTCCACTTCCAGACATGTTTCCATCCTGCTGTGTCTCAGTATGCACCTACTGCCATTTTCCACCGCTTTGCTACAGTTTCAAGTGTAAATGTTTTACACCAAGCCACTTTGATTCCTTGGMGTGTAGCAAGAGGAGGTGAATGCTGCTCCTGCTCTGAATGCATCAAGGAAATGACTGAGATCAATTATATTTATTTACCCAGTTCCCTTGTCTTCCTTGGTCTCCGGGTTTTCCTGGAAGACCTCTGTGYCCCTATAAAGTAAGAAGCATATAAAATATATCAGCTTTGATTGAACTTGGGTTCATTTTCAGCCTGTTTTCTGTGCAGGTGCACTCACTTTTGGCCCTGGAGGGCCCTGAATGCCAGGTTGTCCGTGCATACATTTGCATGTCGCTCTTCCAGCTGTTAGGCCGATCTCAGCATATCCTCCACACTGTGGTGCACAGACAGACAGGTGCCAGAAGGTTTTTTGAAACTCCACACCCATTTCTAGACAAAAAAAAAAAAGCTGGAGTTCAACAATGTCAGACAAAGGATGACTCACCACACTGGAGAGCTCACAGCAGCCCTCTGAATATGCCTGCTCTGAGTCACATGACACCTCCATCTGTTGGATGTCCACCTAGACAGAAACAAGCAATAACGTGGAAAATTAGCTTCGTACAATGTTTCATCGAATGTTTCTTTATWGTCATTGAAGWTGTGAACCTACAGAAGGTGAGCGACCTCCTACAGCCCGTTTGACGATGGAAGTGTATCCTTGGTGGATGACTGGTCTCGYTTCGTTAATGGGTTCCACACTGACCTCTTCGCAATCTATCAGCAGCCTCACTTGGCTGCCTTTCACACTCAGAGCCAACTTGTGCCATTCTCCATCGAACAGCTTTTCCACATTATGGAAGGTCCTCAACATCTGGTTTCCACGGAGGCTGGTGTAGAAAAAGTCTAAGGAGCGGGCGTCACCTGGAAAGCGCAGGCCGACCTGTTCTCGTTCGTCTGGGTCACTGACTTGCCAAAGGTCCCAGGATGTCTGGCCAGTGTTCTTGGTCAACTTAAATGTTGCGATGATGGAGTATTCAGAGGGAAGTCCATCTGGGTACACATCACTGTGACAAAAAACAGAAAGCTATTTCATATTTTTGAAATGCTGCTTTTTCACTTCCAATTTTTTTTATTAAAAATGCTTTATTATTTAAAATTAATAATAACTTGGGCCTTCTCTACAGTAAGAACAATGTTGCTCAGGTCTGCCGTTGTGTGGAAGCTGAGATGTAAGGCTTTTCTCTACAGCTAAACCAACAGAGGTAGTTCAACCTGGATAGACTCACACGAAGATAGACTGAAATTAGGAAGTTTGTTGACATGACTGACTTCCAGTTTTATTGACATGAATGACATTAGAGTTTAGCACTCGGACCCCAGCAGAGGATGTGAGCGCTGTGAGAMGATGTAYGCTTGGATGAGCTGCTCAAGATTAGGTTCAGGCTGTCTTGGTGCATCACAGTTATCCAGGTAGAAAAAAATCTAAAAGAAAAAATAAGTAGGTCCTCTGGATGGGTTCTTCTTTAGCATGTGACTGACCTGTTTGTCCATATGGAGGCAGTGCTAATAAGGCTGAGTTCACCTGAAACTCATCAGACAGAAGAAGTCTCTTAGAGGAGAGACGAAACGTTTCACTAAAGAAGAACGCATCCAAAGGACCTACTTATTTTTTCTTTTTGATAAGGCGCAGGAGTTTTTCTTCCCCACTGGGGCCCGACACTGGTGGTGGAGGTCAAAGGAGAGGGAAGTCCTTGGAAGCCAGAACATGAAAGGAGGAGGAGGAGAGGTGGTAGGTTGACATTCAGCTGGTGAGCAGGCGGTGCGATTAGAGAGGACACTTGTATCCATTGACTGTCAGATGCTGATTGGATGTGGCTGGGCTCATGACGCGGCGGCTGGATTGAGCAGGTGAGGTAGATTAGTCTTCCAGAGTTGAACTTTTGTCTWGACTCCATTTCGTTTACTACCTCTGTTGGCTTAGCTGTAGAGAAAAGCCTCACACCTGGGAAGAGCTTTAAATAGAGCTGCTGCTCCTCCACATCAAAAGTAATTAGTTGAGGCGGTTTGGACATCTGATTAGAATGCTGATTGCCTCCCTTTGAATATTTTTCAAGATCATCTAAGGAGACCCCAAGGTAGACCTGGAACTCCCTTCAGAGATTATAAGTTCTCACTGGCCAGGGAACACTTTGGCATCCCCCAGGAGAAGCTGGAGAGTATTACTAGGGAGAGAAATACAGAATCTGTTTTTTTTTTTTTTTTCAAACCTATTGCCTTTGTAACCCAATAACAGATAAGTGGAAACTGGAGAGATGTTGTTCTCTCAGGATATACCAATAGCACCAACATCAAACAGCATGAACAGTACGGTTCATTTAACAGCTAAAATTTTCCTGTCATCATTAGATTAAAAAAATTTTATCTGGAAGCTGTGGCCCAGCCTTGCAGTGTAATTTTGCTACCGCATCCTGTAACACATTTGCATAATTATACCAAGTGGTTTGTTTGGCTAGTGTTAAAGAAGAAAACAAACCGCTGTCTTTCCCTTTTTTAGTATTCTGGCCTATTGGCTTTTAGAGTAGAGACAGGAGATAAACTGGAGCATTGCAGACAGARGTGCATGAAAAATAACGTAACTATGCAAAAAAAGTTATTTGTCAAAMCATATGTCTAATTGGAAGTCACACTGGGTTTTGAAAGTACAGAAGAGTTACAACATGTTTCTCAGAGGCATAAAATATGACCTTAATYTGACTGTTTTTCAGCTTCTCTTTGATTTGCTTGGATCCCGTCTCAGACTGTACCTCATGGCTCTTCTCAGATGGATGGAGGGGTTGACACGGTAAGCCACAGCCTCAGGTTGAGATCCATCCACTCTCCTCACGCCTCTCAACTCACTCACCCGAAACTCCTCCAGCAGATCGAAACCTCGCAGCACAAATACTGACTTTAACTTTACAACAAACCAATTCAACACCAAAAGAGCTGAGATTTGCTTCTGAAGCTTATGTCAAGGCTTCTATCAATATATTCTTTTAACTTCAATATTCATTGTTGTGATAAATGTYTTTAACTTACAGCTATGATGTAATTTAAACTACCAGGTGTGTTTAGCTCCTGACTTTTAAAGAATAAGTACTTTGTGCTGTAGTTCTCATGAGGTCAGCATGACGTTAGAAAGTGTGGATGAAAACCAGTGAAGGTTATTATGACCTGCAAAGAGGTAAAGAGTTTTCTGTCCACCCACCCCCCCACTCC